ATTGGTTATCACAGAGAGAGTGAGGAGAGAAAGCGAGAGCACACACAGTCACCAAACTTTTATTACAGCATATTGTTATACTTTTTCTTTTATTGTTAGTTATTGTTGTTAATCTCTTATTATGCCTAATTTATAAATTAAACTTTATTATAGGAATGTATGTGTAGGAAAAAAACTGTACATATAGGGTTCAGTACTATATGCATTTTCAGGCTTCCACTGGGGGTCTTGGAACACATCCTCCTTGTATAAGGGAGAACTACTGTGTATATATATATGGCAGGGAGAACAATTAGTGGGAAGCTATCATGAGACCATTGAGAAGTGCAGGAATGCCAGGGAGGGTAACAAGTTTGGGGAAAGAACATGCGTAGGTAGAATGGAGGAGCAGGGGGCTGGGACGGTGCTTGTCTCTAATTCAGAGTAGTGAATGTGTTACAAGTTTATTCTCTATCAGACCGTCTTCACTGCAAGCCCATCCTGTTGCTTTAACAACTCCCTTGAGTGGCTTGGACTGCCTCTGAGCTACCTCCTTTTGTGTAAAATGGGGATAATCATACTTACAGAGAAGGGTTGCCTGGGGGTTAACCAGGTACTATGGAAACAATCAGACCCTCCCTCATGCCTCACCTTACCCATTAACAGTTGCTGTCTACATCTACTTCCCAAGAGGAGATCTAGGCTGAGCCTCCTCCCATGAACTGAAGTAAGTTTCTTGGCATATGCCAGAAAGCCCAAGAGTCTTTAGGGTTTGGAAAAACACCCCCCAGCTGGTACTGTTTGTTTTGGCCAAGGCCCCTGCCCTTGCTGACCCCACACATGCCTCCATGTCTGTGTAAAGAGGCCTCCTGCCCAGGAGCCCCTGATACCAGAAGCAGATAAGTGATACAGCCCAAGTTCTCCCAGAAACACAAGGTCCTTTGGAAGAGCAAACTCAAAGAGGAATAAAACTGCACATCCCTTAAATTGTGTTAAATTTTCCTTCCTAACAAGCACAGGTAACTCAAAGAACCACCCTACCTCTCTTTTACCTATGCCCCAAAGAGACAGAATAAAGTTTCATGGAAACTGTATCTTTCTTCACACTCATAAGCCAGATGGGCAGGTATTATGCTTTTCATTTTGTGGATGGAAGCCCAGGAAGGAGGCTGCCCAAAGTCCTTCAACAAAGCCAGAGATGAGACCCAGGTTATAAACCAGGTCTCCTGGCTCTCTAGTCCCTCATTTAATTTCCTCTGTCTCTCTTTAGGACATACTCAGCACCAGGAGCACAGACACATAATTGATTACAAATAGGTGTTTGGACCCACTTCGTCATTTTTGTATTTTAAGTTTGATTTCCTCACTCTGTGTGTCTGTATGTTTCCAGCCCATGATGTGTCCGAGTCATGGGTACAGCACAAGTTCGCCTGATCCTTGTCCCTCTCTGCCTAATCATGTGTTGTCTTACCTGTTTGGGGGGCCTGAGGTCACCTACTGCTTTATTACTTGGTCCGCCTCATTAGAGTTTACCTTTTTGAGAGACAGGATTCAAGTTTTTCAGTGTCTTCCCTAGGCCTATGTATTTGATGGGTTCTTCATGAATACCTGGGGGTGTGGCAATGGAGGGAAGAGAAACAGGCCTTACAGTGTGGTGTGGCGGGTAAGAAGAAGGCCTGTGGAGTTAGATTGCCGTGGAAAAGTCCACTCTGATATTTAGCTTCTGCTGTGACCCAGGCACTCATCTTACTTTACTTTCTGAACTTTGTAATTGTTTGTATCTGAAGATGATAACACCTGCAAGACCTAGCCTTCTGCCTGGCACATAAAAGGAATTCAATAAATATTTGTGGAAAGAATTAATACCTATCTCACAGGGTTATTGTGAGGATTAAATGAGATAATGTATGTGAAGTATTTCTCATAGAACCTGGTATATAGTAATTACTCAATAAAAGCTACTCTTAACTATTAGGTCATTATTAGTATTTAGAACTAAACACAATCATATAGAATGCCGTGGTGGGTTAGGAATAAAGAATCCCTGAATTCAAATCTCAATGCCATTATGTAGAAAAAAACTACTGGATTAGGATCAGGATACTCAGGTGTGAGACCTTGCTTTGCCATGGACTAGTTATGTGACCTGGAATAAGTAACTTTACTTTCCTCAACTTTAGTGTCCTCATCAGCAAAACAAGGAGATTGAGTAGTCATTAAGATTCTTTTTTTTCGCCCTGGCCAGTTTGGCTCAGCGGTTAGAGCGTCGGCCTGCAGTCCGGAGAGACCCGGGTTCGGTTCCCGCTAAGGGCACCTACTTCGGTTGTAGTTTGATCCCGGCCCTGGTTGGTCCTGCGGGTGGCAGCCACTCGATGTGTCCCTTCACGTCGATGTTCCTCTCTCTCCCTCCCACTCTATCTGTACAAAAAATGGAATAATATCCTCGGGTGAGGATAAAAAAAAAAAAATTAAAAAAAGATTCTTTTTTTTTTTCTAGCTCTAACAGCCTCAGGGTAAGATGTAATCTCATGCAGGTCTCATCTTCTCTGGTCCCAGTTTGCCCACCTGTAAAATGACACACAGGTGTTTAGAAGCCCCTTTCTGGGGCAGGGCAGCCCAGAGTATGCAGATCTCAATGCCCCTTCAGCCTCCACACAGCAGGTCCTGGCAGTTCTTGTTCAGCTCAGACTGACTGCTGAGTGCCATGAACTAGTTACTTGTCCACACAGAGCCCTGGTCCTCTCATGAGTTATATGGGCCACCTTTCCCCTCCACCTCCAATTACAGGAATATTGAAAAGGACCAACAATGACCATTATGTCCCCTATTAACAAAGTTTATAGAGGGCCTGGTGTGAAGAACCTCTTCAGAAACTATTTATCAGTAAATACAATAAAAAACAATTCATTCCCGTGGCAATGTGCAATAATTTACCTTCTGATTAAAGGTATCTATAACACAATTATGAAAAATCCTGCTTAAATTCACTGAGATCCCTTTAATTATCACCTTCATTAGTACCTCTTCTAAAGCACTGGTCTCAGTCTCTATAATTTACACTTTGACTTACATTGTCTTTCTTGCCTCCTCACAAAAACTCAGAGGGTAGAAGCAAGTCAGGCATTATTTACCCCCATTTTTCCACCAGCAAAGGGGGCTCAAGGAAGTGTGAAGAGCTGGCCACCATGCAGAGTTCAAGCTATGGAAGAGTTGGGATTAGATATCAGATTGCCTGGCTGTCCCCACCAGCACCTCTTGAGTAGTCCTGGTTACAACAGCCCTACTACCAGCCTTGCCCTGTGGGGCAGTTCCAAGAGGTTTTTCTATAAGCCTGTTCCTCTATCTAGTGGGTTGTGGGTTCTAATCGTCTTGGAGATGGCCAACATTTCCAGGCTGTTCTGCCTTGAGCAGGTGGGATCACAGCCAGTCAGAGGCCAGGACTTCTCCAAGAGAAGTGTGAGACTACCTAGTGTGGGTGAGCACCCAAGGAGTCTTGTTAGACATGCAGATTGCTGGGTTCAATCACAGACAGGCCTGATTCTAAATGCTTTGGAATCTGCCTCCAGTTTTCCCTCATCATCCAAATTAAAGTAACTGAAATAGTCTTACCCAGCGGTTCTCAACCTATGGGTCGCAACCCTTTTGGGGGTCAAACGACCCTTTCACAGGGGTCACCTAAGACATAACAGTAGCACAATTACAGTTATGAAGTAGCAACGAAAATAATTTTATGGTTGAGGGTCACCACAACATGAGGAATTGTATTCAAGGGTTGTGGCATTTGGAAGGTTGAGAACCACTGGTGTAACCTATTACTGTAGTCATTATTGTTTTCATAGATACTAGACAGAACTTGTTCATCACATAATTTGTTTATTGACTCTTTCTCCACATTAGAATGTAAATTCCATGAAGATAGGGACTTTGTTAGTTTGGTTTATTGCCAAACCCCAGTTTCCTAGAACCCAAAGGCCCCCACAGTACGAGGTCAGTAAATATTTATTGAATTGAGTGTGCACTGAAGTTTGAAACCACTGTCTTACACCACTTCTTTGTTTTACAATAGGAAAACTGAGGTCCACTGAGTTAGTGACTGCTGCAGAATTGGTAAGGGGCAGCACCAGGGCCAGGATAAAATCGCAGACCTCCGGCGTCTCAATCAGGAGTTGGTTCAACTCTGCCCAAAGCAATTCTTTAGAAAAAACGAAATCCACTTGAAAGAAAAGACATTTCCTGTCCATAAAAACCCAGTTTCGGGGGTTTGCCTGGGTTGGGCGCTGCCGGTTATTCAGTTCCCACTTTCTAGGCGCCCCCTGCCTCTAAGGGTTAAGGACCCGCATTCCTGCCCCAGCGACAAACCCACCTCGGGGCAGTGTCCCCGGGGTCGGCGGGGAGGAGCCCAACACAGCCCGCAGAGGTGAGGACGGCTCGCCCAAGGTCACTGGGGCGGGGCCTGGAGGGGCCAGGCCCGTGGGGTGCTAGGGAACCGGCGGTCTCGGCGCGTATTCTGGGTGGGTGGGCACCCTCCTCCATCATCCTGTAAGTCGAAGGTGACATTAATGGTTCCTTTTTCCCAAACTGGCACACCCAACCTAAGGAGCGAGAGCAGGCCGGGCCAGCCGCGTGGCCCGCTCCCATGTGCTCCACCTGCGGCCGCTCTCAAGCGTCGGCCCTTTAAGACACCTCCCCTTTTCACCCGCCCCCCTGTTTCTCCAGCCTCTCTTCTTGCCCCCTCCCTTCCGAATTGCATCAGGCACGTGCTCGCCCCCGTCGGGTCTGGGCACCCCTCACCCCCTAGCCTGGGAGGTGCTCCGAAGAATCGGAGGCGAGGGGCGGGGCGAGGGGCGGGCCCGTGAGGCCGTGCGCGCGCGCTCCCGCCTCCTTCGCCCGCCCGCCCGTCGCCCAGGGTCAGCCCCAGCGGGCGCGCCCCCGCTGCGCCGTCCCTCCCCTCGCCCGCCGCGTCGTGAGGCGCGCGCCCGCCCGCCGCCTGCCGCGGATCGCGTGGTCGGCTGGGCTCGCCGCGCCTCTCCCCCGTCCGTCCATATTGCTGCAGCCCCCGAGCCGGGAAGCCCGGGCCGCCCCGGCGGCGGGGGGGAGGGAGGAACGGGACGAGAAGCCAGCCAGGCTCCGGGTGGGGTGCCCTGCGAGGAACGGGCGGGGGGGGACGCGCGCCAAGGAGGCCTGGACCGCAGAGTGGGGGGCCTTCCTCCCCCCCCCGCCCCGCCTGTGGGCCTCGGATCTACGGAGGCTGCATCCGACCGGGAGGGAGGCCGCGCCTAGCGTGAACCCCAACCCTTCTCCGCAGGGACTGGGGCCCAGCGCCCCGGAGGAAGGCGTCGCGGGCGCTCTGAGAGCCAAGTTCGAGGCGGGGGAGGCCGCCTCTGGCGCGCCCGGCTTCTCCGGGGGGGCGGGCGCGCAGATGGCCACTCAGGTGGAGCCGCTGCTGCCGGCAGGCGCTCCGCTCTTGCAGGCCGAAGAGCACGGGGGGCTGGTGAGGAAGAAGCCGCCGCCGCCGCCGCCGCCCGAGGGCAAGGGCGAACCCGGGGCGAACGACGTCGGAGGGGGGGAGCCGGACGGCGGTGGCCGCAGACCTCGGCCGCCCTGCGCCAAGCCACACAAGGAGGGCAGCGGGCAGCTGGAGCGCGAGAGCCCGCGGCCTCCTCAGCCGCCCGGCGCCGAGGGCCTGGCCTTCAGCGACGGAGAGGAGGGCGGCGGCGGCGAGCCGGGCGCTGGCGGAGGAGTGGCCGGAGCCGCGGGCGCCGGCCGCCGAGACTTCGTGGAGGCCCCTCCGCCCAAGGTGAACCCGTGGACTAAGAACGCGCTGCCGCCGGCCCTGGCCACTGTGAACGGACAGTCCCTTCCAGGTGGGTCTCCCTGCTTGCTATCCCGGGTCCGGGGCCTCTTCCGGGGACATAGGCGTCCCCTCCCCCAGCGGCCTCCAGGGCCCTGGGGTCTGCTGCTGGTCGTGGTGACTCGGGATTTTTTTAAAATTGCTTCCTGGCTAATTGAAGTCGCCAAACACTCCCCCAGACACATCGGGAACCTGCCCCTGCCGGAGGGCCCGGCCTCCAGGCGGCCCCGGCGACCGCCTGGGCCGCAGCGGTTAGTGGGCAACGGCGTGGTCCCGGCCTAGCTCGCCGGGAGCGGGTGGGCGCTGGTTTCGGTGCAAAGGGCCCTCTCCCCCACCGCGTGTTGGTGCGAGAGGCGGTTTCCAGCCTACAACTTCCTCGGGCTGCCCCCGCTTCCCACTCCGCCCCACGCTCCCCGTTTTGGTAGCGTTGCGATCGTCCCATGTTGTAAATGTTTCATGAGCATATGTCATGGGCAGCAAAGCGGCCGGCGATGGGTTCGGGGTTTAAAAGTTCACAACTTTTGTTCTCGAGTAGACGATATTAGGCGGTAGAATCACCATTGGTGACGGGTTGAGGGGTCGGTTACGGAGAGAATGGGGAGAAGAGGAAACCCAACGTGTCATTGAATTCGGTGGTTTCCCTCCCCGATCCCAGGGACCTTCCGCCTTGAGAGGGAGCCGGATGGCGAGCGTAGGAAATCCAGTTAAGGGGTTGGCGGAAAATGTGAGACGAGTAAGGGGGCTTGCGGCGGCACGAGGGGTGTGTGGCGGCGGGGGAGGGAGTGGCCGGGCTGGGCGGTCGGGTGACAGTTGGGCGCCATGCGCCGCGGCCCACGGGCTGCTCGCGGCCGCTCGGCCTGTGCGTTCGGCGCCCGCTGCCGCGTTAGGGGTGGAAGGCGGGTGCGGGCCGGAGGCGCGGTCGGGAGTGTGCGTGTGCGCGAGTGTGAGTGCGCGGCCCCCCTTCCCGGCATTCCTCCGCAGCCCGGACAACGTGGTGCCTTCCCGCGCGGGGAGCGGCATGTGGTTGCCGACCAGCGCTCCCCGCGCTGTCTCTCATGCTCGATTTTTCGGTCCTTTTGTGCCTGGTCCTTGGGGAGGTAGGGGTGCAGAGAATCCTAAAGGATCCGTGTCAGCGTGTGGAGAGAGGTGGTGCAGAATATGGAGGCTCGTCTGGGCCTCCCTTTGCCGAGAATAGACTGTCGGCTTGGTTTGGGAGCGCGCCCTCTGAGCTCTCTTTGCTGGCGCGTTGGGGCATAATGCATCTGGATCCTTTGGTTTGGGGTCCTTTTGAAGTTGGCCAGTATCAAAACCCGATTGTAGCTAGAATGATTGCCTCTGGCCATAGCCTTAGTGCTTTTTCAAAACTCCTCCCCTTCTGCAGTCTCTGGTTGAGGCTGACTGGTTTAAACCATCAAAATGGGGAAAGTTGAAGGGGGATCTTAATGCTTTCACATTCAAGGGAGTAGAATTACTCGCAGTCTCAGGAAAACCAGAATAGCTAATTCTGAAAACGGCGTGTTGCAATTTTTATTTCTTTTAAGGTTGCTTCATTTGGAGGAGGATACATTTGGGGGTTACTAAAGTACCTCAAACCATGTTCTCTTCCTTTTGCCCTTCCCCCCTTTCCCTTCCAGAGCCCTCTTATGCAAAGGGCAGTGCTGAAACCTCCATTTTCTTGCATATCCCTCCTGATCCACCCACAGAGGGAGGGAAAGAAACTTTAAGACACTCTTTGGTCTTTCCCCCTCTTTAAACTCAAAGGGGTATAATCATCCCCAGGAGAGAGCACTCCTCAGAAGTTTAAATGGGGCTACTCACCCTGGCTGCTGCTGCTGCCGCCGCCGCTGCTGCTTAGCCAATGGTGAACCTGCCTTGTGGGTTTTAAATCAGCCATGACATCAGGTGGTATTGGGTGCCTGAGCTGGCATTTTGTGCAAGTCTAGGGGCCCTTGATAGGGTGCGTCATTGGGGTTATTGATGGTGGGAAGAAGACAGTTTGGCTGGCATCTCACCTTTTCCTCCTAGTGGGAAGAGCCAACTTGCTTTAAGTGTCTAAAGCAAAATTCTAAGTGGAGTACATTTACTCTGTTCTTGTTTTTCTGGAATCTTAGGGCAAGAAAGTGTCTTGTCTACTGGTTGGTTTTGAACCTTTGGAATAGTCTTTGACAGACTGAATTAATTCAGTAGCTTCTGTTTGGGCTTGGATCCTTTTTGAGGGAGAATTTTGTCATTGATTTGTCTTTCTGGTAAGGTTTTTCTTTAGAGTCTACATGGATCTCTGAGGCCCTTTTCCAGCCCTGATTTTATTTGCAGCTTGGACAAATTTAAATGTGACACCACTGGAGTGGCAGTGTGGTCTTTGGGAATTCTGTGATGCATGTGTTTTTGGGAGTCTACAGAAATGAGTGCCTCATAAGCAAGCTAAAAGCTTTCCAAAGCTTGCTGCAAATGCCTATTTTTAGCCCTCCTTTTGGCTCAGATGCTAGTGTTTTAGTTCTTTAAGGGACACATGCAGTAACTAGTAATGAAAGATGTTTTTCGATATTTCCCTCTTGTTTGTGGGGTTCTCTTTTCTGGTTTAAGCTTTCATGTATTACATTTGTAGTTTAAAATCTTGGGATTTGCATTTTGGCTTTTTATGTTTCCCTCCCTTAGAATATTTTGAAAACATTGACAATTTTTTCCCTTAGCTTAGCCACACTGTTTAAGTACAGGAGACATGGGACATTTTTTTTTAATTGTTTTTTTTATTGATTTTTTTAGAGAGAGAGAGAGAGAGACATCGATGAGCGAGAACATCAGTTGGCTGCCTCCTGCATGCCCCCCACTGGGATTGGGCCCACAGCCTGGTCATGTGCCCTGATCAGGAATCCAACCAGCATCATCTTGTTGCGTGGGTGAATGCTCAACCATCGAGCTACACCGGCGGGCACGGGACATCTTAGTTAAATGAAGAAATGATATATAGCAAAGGTTCTGGGGTCAAAATTGCAGGGGTTCAAATGCCAACTCTTACTATTTGCTAGCTGTGCCTCCTTGGACAAGTTCCTAAACCATTCTGTGCCTTAGCTACCCCATTTGTAGACTAGGGATTAAATTATGATTTATCTGCCTCTTGGGGCTGTTGTGAGCAATCACTGTGATAGTGTGTAAAGCATCTAGCCCAGTGTCTGGCACATGGAAGCTGTTACACCATGTCTGGAAGACTGAGACTATGGGACTTTACCGGACTTTTTCTGGGTCTCCTTTTTTTCCACCTGTAAAAAGGGTTGGAGAATGCAGTACTATTTTCCTTTTCTGGTATTGTATTAATACTCCATGAAATATATGGCATCATCTCCTTAAAAATGGACTTTTGCTTGTTCACAGACAAAAAGATCATGATATGGATAATCTTAAATGTTTGTTACCCCCAAAATTGGTTAATTTTGCTTTGGAATGTGGTATGATGACTGTTTTAAAAATACGTTTTAACTTATTTGCCTTTCATTAAGATTACCTTTTGGGAGAGTGCACATGTGCTGTTAGGGCTGTGGGGAAAGCCATTTTGACTGAAGTAGAAGTTTACTGTGGCTGAGTGCACATGCAGTGGGTTGAGACTTTGAGTGTATCATCACTATAAGCTTACATTCATCCCAGTGTGGGTTTGGTTGTGTAGCACCTCTGACTTAAAACTAATCAGTGCTGCAATCGTTTTCTTGATTTCTCTTTAAAGGAAAGTTGGGGGCAGGGTCTGAGACTTGAGTGTTTATGTTCTGGGCATCACTTTTTTCTGTGTCCCTTTGAAGTATAGCTAACTGATGGCACAAAATAAAAGAGGGTTATAATCTTGGCTAACCCATGACAACCCCAGGGATCCTCCGCCCCACTGTACTGGCCTCAAATAAATCTCTACTCTGTTTTTTTACTGTCCTTCCTGGGGTTAGGCCCTTCTGCAGGACCCCCACCCCCACCCCAGTTGTACTAGGTGGGGTATTTATGGATCTGGCCATCAGTCTTCACTGTATGAACACTTCATAGCCTCAGACCTACTTCAGCCCCTGGTTCCTCCTTCCCCACCACTAGAAATAGACTGGATACAAGTAAGAACTTTGCCCTGGAATCATTTAGTCTGCTCTTTTGAACCTCAGCTTTGCTTCTTGAGCTGCTGCTGTTTTTTCTTTATTGAGATATAATTGCCATATAATATTATATTAGTTTCAGTTGTACAACATAATGAATCTGTATTTGTATATATCCAGCTTTGCGTTTAACTTGCTGTGCAATCTTGGGTGAGTTAATCAGCCTTTCTGAGCTGTTACTCTCAAAATAAGAATAATGATAGTTACTATTTCAGAAAGTTATGGGAATTAAAGAAGGTGATATTTATAAAACCTTTAGCATAGTGCCAAGCACAGAGCATCTATTAAATGCTGCCTATTTAATAATTACTGTTTTAAATTTTTTATAATAAATGATCACCATTATTAGGATCTGTTTCTTCCGCTTCTGATTTTGCTTGGGACCAGCATTGTGGAAACCAGCAACCCCCATGCCTTTTCTGTTCTGTAAAATGATGGAATTGGGTTAGGTCTAAATGTGGTCCAAAGTTTTTTTCGTATCAAAAACACTTTTAAAATAAACCCTCTCCCCACAAGAGAAAGAAACCAAAATAGAGCTCTTTCTTTTAAAAGACGTGTGTTTATATCTGCTGTAGTGGGTAAAACTCCAGTTTTGAATCCAAACTTTTGAGGGCTAGCGTGACTCCTCTGGCTTCGGGAGCCTAGGCTGTTCACTTGGGGATGCATATCAGACATTGTGAAAAAACAGACATTATGTGCCTTATAATGCTATAGTAGAAAGTACTGGCCAGTTTGGCTCAGTGGTTGCAACGGTTCTCAACCTATAGGTCGCGACCCCTTTGGGGGAGTCGAACGACCCTTTCACAGGGGTCGCCTAAGACATAACAGTAGCAAAATTACAGTTATGAAGTAGCAACGAAAATAATTCTATGGTTGGAGGTCACCACAACAT